AAGTTACTACATAGCAACTCTATTATCTCTAAAACTCTTTGAATCATTCCCCTCAAAACAGCTTGAGCAAATTCCAGAGTGGTTCAAGCATGTTGGTTTATGGGAAGAAAATTCAGAAGAAATTTAATAGAAAAAATTCTCAACAGAACTGCTTTGACACAGAAGCAAGTAGAGTTTGCTTCCAGTTCATCTTAATCCAATTTATGTTGATAGCATACCATACAAACATTTGAATTACATAGAATTCTCCCTCAGGCTGGCTATTAAAATAAAAAATAGGGAGGAGGAGAAGTGCTTCAAGGACAATGCAGGGTTCTGTGCAGGACAGAATGCTAATCTTAGAAGCTGTTCATATAAGATATTCTTGCTTTGCAATTCCTCTGTGATTTCTAGCAACTGACTCACCCAGAAATATGTACGAGGTGCTCAAAAATATGTTGATGAAGCAACATACTTGTTTCTTTTGTTGCAATATCACTTGTATATTACTTCAGCAAAAATATTAAAGATAAAGATGGAACCAAGCTATGTGTCTATTGCTGAAGAATGCATCACATTGTGATGCCCCTAGATTTGAAATATACAGGCATCAACTGTCAGCACTGCAGAAGTCACAGCATGCAATAAGAGAACAAATATCTGATTTCACAATTTCCAGCAATCAGCTTTAGCTTTAGGCACTAGGAAAAATCACTGGCCAGGAAAGTAACAGGCAAGTGTGAAAGTCACAGAATACAGCACAGAATCACTAACAAATCAACAGCTTGAAATCAGCAGGAAAAGATGTTTTCACAGTATGGAGATTAATTTTAATTCCTTATGTTTGTAGATAGCTTTGATAAAAGCATAGCTGCAAAAGCAAAGTGAGAAGTTGGCCATTCCAATAGGAACATGAAGCATGTGAGGTTTTCTCTATTTATGTGCCCATTTTAATTAATGTTTTTTATTTCTGCTTGCGCTAGTAACATCCTTGATTATCCTGTTGGGTGAAAAGTTGGGTGAAAAGGAAATGAATTAATTAAGCAAAATAAATGAATAAAACACTTATTTGTGCATTCCCAACTTCAGGGGATTTACTTTCAACTAATCTGCCTAAGACTCAAATCTGAAAGAAAACAAGGCCTGAGGCGCCACCTTCAAAACACACAATGACAGGTTGTAGCATTAAAATTTAGCAATTCAACAGCTATTGCTCAGTGAAGGCCAGACTGTCATTGGGTTTTTCTGGCATCTCCAGTGAGATAGATTCCAGATTTCAAGAGAATCAAAGATTTTAAGAGGAGAAATAAACAGCTACCTATCCCCCACTCCCCAAGTTTATAATTGGCTTGGATCTTCCCCTGGGAATGCAAGACAGCCTAGGCTTGGAAGGACTAATAAGCAACTGGATAAGAGCAAACATTAGGCAAGTTTCCAGAATTATACCAGAGAAATTCTTTTTTTCTTTGGCATAACAAGGGAGAGAAGGGGGGGGGGGAAACGGTTTATCCAATCTGCATGTCAACTAATAAAGACATTTTTTTAAACTATAGGTAGTCCTTGTTTACACTAATTGGGACCAGAAACTCCATAATTAAACAACATGGTTGTAAGTTGAAAAACCATGTGACTCCGTTGCTTAGTGATGGCAGTTCTGACAGTCCCAGTTGTCATTGTTAAGTGAGGACCACGTGGGCCATTAAGCGAGGACCTCACGTGAATGTGACTTCCAACTTCCTGCTGGCTTCCCCATTGACTTTGCTTGTGGGAAGTTGGCAGGGAAGGTCCAAATCGTGAGCCCGTCACTGCAGGACACTGCAACAGCTGTAAGTACAAGGCCCAGTTGTAGCTACCACTCATTCAGCACTGTCGTACATTTGAATGATCACTGAATGAGTGATCATTAAATGAGAACCACCTATATGGAAAGATTCTAGAGATGCAATAGTATGAGATGGTTACATGGTATCCTCAGATTGTTTGTATTTTTTTTAAATTTTTTTATCCCACCTTTATTATGTTTGTAAATAACTCAAGGTGGCGAACATACCTAATACTCCTTCCTTCTCCTATTTTCCCCACAAC